TTTGTTATTTTGAAAGTTAACTTCAAAATAAGAAAAAAGAAAAAAGGATCGATTTTCCTTACCATTTTTTTTTTTCCTATTTTTTTCCCGTACTTTAAAATAGGTAAATGGAATAAGGAAAAGTAACATGTCCTTTTTCCGTTTTTGTTGAAAAAATGAAAAAAAAAAAAAAAAAAATAGGTTGGCCGAACTGTGCACGGACCCGACTGAACCACTAAGACTACTAAGAATTGCTATTGGAGGACAGAAAATCAAGAAGTAATTACCTCATAAAAAATAATTTTCTTTTCCATTTGTCGATATGTGCTACTGCAATAGAACAAAACTGAACGCCTTTCCAAAGAACCCAACAGATGTGATAAACCTTGAATATGAGATTCCGTGATCACAATCTATTATTATGCATTTGCTTCACTTCCAGTTTCAGAATGTTTTAAGTTCTTATTTTTTCTTTTATAGTGGGTTTGAGCGTATGCATCTTTGTTGTGTGTGGCCAGAAAAGTGTGTACATCATCTTCTGTGCACAAACACTACGATAACACCAGGCGGGCACCATCCCCGACGACCTCCTTAACTGCTTTTGATTGATGAAAAACTGTAAGAACAAATCTGACTGTATTGTTAACGAATTGCTGTTCACCAGATATTCAATTCCGTTTGAACTCGCATTTATTTCTATTCCTTGAAAATAGCGTCATAAGGTCGCCGAAACGTTAGTTGACTAGGAGTAGTCCCCATTTTTCTCATGGTTGGTAGAGCGAGCGAAACGCGAGCGCGCGAAAAAATCACTCCATGCCCCATGTCTCGCTTTTCTCGCGAGGGAAGATTTTCACGCGCGCTCGCGTTTCGCTCGCTCTGCTATCCCTGAGGAAAAATGGGGACTACTCGTAGTCTAAAACGTAAGCGGAAATTTTTTTGTTAGAGTTTTCATGCACAGGTGTTCTGCGATGGTTTATAAAGATTCCTACAAGAGAGAATGCCATTACATTATTTTCTTGACTCCTGATTACTCTGATTCCTATCTTTCACGTTTTGTTCCCGAGCATTTTTGGTGCTCTATTATTACAACTGAAGCTTTGCATCCTGCTTTCGAACAGCCACTGGGTCACAAACACGTTTTCGCTTTTCTCTGAATTTATTTCCCTTTACTGCATAGAAAGAGAAATAATTACTAACGAAGAAATAATTTATGGTTGTTAAGTCTGAGAACTTTGATCAGATGAGGTTTTTCAGTGTCGATCCGTCTTTCTTTGGCTCATTCTTCCACTTTCACATTGCCCTCAATGCACCTTGTTTATTAGTCTGTTCACATTCCCTTATTTTTTCGTAAGCTCAACGAGATCGAGCTCTTATTGTTACAGGCGCCCCTCTTGGTTTCAAATGTACTAAAGGGTTAGGGCCCGAAGTTGTAGCGGTGGGGAAGGAGATTCCCTTAAGTAGATTCGTTACTCATCGCCAAGATGGTCGCCCGTAATGCCTACGATCTTATAGTGGGAACTTTGAACAGCCTACTTGTTTAGTTCCCCCCCCCCCCCCCCCCCCCATCTCAAATTCTTGGCCATTGCAGCCACCCAAAGGAAATTGAAAACATTTCTTATTCATAATCAGGGATTAATTATGGGAAATGCAGTAGTAGTTAACCAAGTTGCGCTCAGTTTCTCAAAAGTCACCATGCTGATGGCAGTCGACATACCGTACTGTATGTTTTAATACTAAAAATACAACAGTAATTCATCCTCACTACATATCTTCTGCATATGCAGGGAGGATTGATAGTGCCGTCACCGCCACCAGGGGAGGTGGGAGGGGCGAAAAGGGCTCCAAATCGCGTCAAACGCCAAGATCGCACTACCCTGCCCACACAGAAGACCGCAAAATATCATAATCGACCCCTTGCCTAGTACGTAGGCCTCATTATTCCTCGCGACCAAAGAGTTTTGGGTCACGTGGTCCGCCCCAGATACGTCACCGAAGTGAATTGACCGAGAGGGATTCGGAAAACGCTGTACTCGATCCCGATTGTCGAAAGACTCCAGAGGAACGCAGGCATCTTTATGAGGCCCACTCTGATTACAAGTGAGAATAGTTAATGGTAGTCTTTACACTAGAGCCTAAATGATCTAAGAAATATTTCAAGACAAGTAAATTTTAATTACTTCAAGTAAAATAAAGCTTCACACACAACCGATTCTTTTTTACTTCAGGTTAACTTAAGGCTATCCGCCAACGCATAATTAAGATTGATTGACATGTTTCGTCTTTCTCAAAGCTCAAGAAACCGCAAGTAATCGCAAGTCAGCTAAGTCGGTTTTAAGGATGGTTTTCAAGTCGCTTGAAACTTTCTTGAATCGTTTCAGCTTTCCGACTTTAATGAGATGCAAAGTAAGTTACTTGACAGGCGGGTAAGTAGGTGGGGTTTGAGTAGGGGTGTTCGTACTGATACGAATATTTCTTAACAGCGGGTGAATACTACGAGCGCCAAAGGCGCGAGCCTCTAGGGGTTTCTTGGGGCAACTGCTCCCCCAGAAAATTTTGAAATCTAGAATACTAGAACTGCTATTTTCAGTAGTCTCCACGTGAATATTTCAAACTCGATCGTCTAAAATAACAGGTATTTTTAGCCATAACAAATATACTTGTCCGTTGAGCATTTTAAGCGAAATATCAAGAAGGTAGCTGATATATCGGATTCCCACACGGCAATCATGTAAAGCAGTTGTAATTAGTTTCAGTTTTTAACTTACATACATACTTCCGTTTGACTTGGAACATTCATACATAGTGATACATACTGGCTAAGTACACGAAACGTTTTATAAAACTCGACGAGTGCTATAAAAGGTATCTCGGAGCAAAAGCTTAAGCCCCCAGTTCCCCTGCTCCGCTCTGTTCGCACTTGATATGCATGATAGCCAATGAGGAAAGCCTACTCTCACCTATGGTACATCTCATGTAATTGTTTAGCCTTCTCATTGTGCCGATTGAACGCTCGCACTCACACGATGTCACGGGAAGAGTAGCCGCAATCTTGAGAAGAATGTACAGGTTAGGGAAATCATCAAGATCACATGCCCTCAAGGAGGCAGCGCATGAATCAGCCGTAATTATCCTAGCTTGCACCTTCATCTTCCAACGCTCAAATTCGGCAAAGAAGAGCTGTCGCGAAGGCAGATAATCTTTGTATTGATCTACTAAGTCAGTTAACTGCTGAGCATTGATTTGGCTTTCCTGAATTACAGATGGCACTAACCCGAGCAGCTTACTGACCCTCGAGCTCACTGGCTATCATGTATATCAAGTACGATATGCCATCGATCTGGACGAAGTTGTCAATTTATTTGAAGGCCTCCAACCGAGGATGATGCAATTGCAAAGTTTGGTTTACGAAGCGGAATAGTCCTGTTGTGAGTTGATAATTAAGTAGCCCATGTTGAGGCAACAGTATATCCTATTGACCTAGTATTATATTTAGTCAAAATAATTCCACCATTGAAGATATTTTTCTTAACAGGCGTTCCGTTTTTGATAAATTTAGTCTCGAAAGACGAAAGGCGGGGAATACGATTTTGGGGGACCTAGGTGATACGTGCTTAACACAAATTGACATTTGACGCTGCTTTCAGTACAAAGACAGCGGAAGATGGAACTGGGGGACTCAAGGTGTGGGGGCTTAAGCTTTTGCTCCGAGATTCCTCCATCATTGACATGCAAAGGGGGTTCGTTCGAACCCCTCGAATCCCCCCCCCCTCCTACTTGAGATTTTACTTAGACCTTCACACACGAATTTTTGGTTAAGTAAAACTTAGCAGCTCTCGACCAGATTCCAGTGGACAAAACCTGGAGTCCGACGGAGTCTAGTCGAAAAATAAAACCGGAAGTACAGTAGAGTCCACTTGAGTTACCGGAAGTTTAGTCATGAGTGAAACCGGAAGTGTAAACAATACTTAGAGGAGGGTTGGAAAGTCGTCCGATGGAGTCCATCGGTTCCATTGGAAACACATCGATTCCGATGGAATCTCAGGAAGTCTAGTCGTGCCATGAGTCGAAACAAGCACGGACGTCGGTACACATAAGTCGTTCTTAAAGCGATGAGTCAAAACAAGCACGCTACACAAAAAATATAACTCGTTCTTAAAGCAATGAGCCGAAACGAGCACGCTACGCGAATGGCATAACTCGTTCTTAAAGCCAAGAGTCGAAACAAGCACGGTACCCACGTAACATAACTCGTTCTTTAAACCCTAAGTCCCCCGGGCCCTTATTCGAGACGGACTGGCACGCTTAAAGCCACGAGTCAAAACAAGCACGGTAAAGCTATGAAACGGGGCAAAAGCCCCGCGAAACGAGGACAGTACACAAGTATATGCTTCGTTCTTTAATGGTAACTATAATATGAGCTACACTTGAGTAGAATTATTAAAAGAAACATACTGGTAGGGGGTAGGCATAACATTGAAATTGACATTACATGGATACAAAATGTACTAAGTTATTGAACTTTTACGCGCGCTCGCGTTTCGCTCGCTCTACTATCCCTGAGGAAAAATGGGGGACTACTCGTAGTCTACTTTGCATGTGAAAAGATCACCATTGCTATGGTACAATATAACAACTCACACCTTTTACAGAAAAAAATTATTCATTTAATAAGTGAAGTTAAGTATTTCAGTGGTATAAAATAAATGGAACATATTGCATGGCCGCTCGGAGATATGAAATTTCTCTTCTCATGTTGAAACAATATTTCACTGCTTCCAGCAAGGCTTACCCTTCCTTCTCTGTTGGATTGCTGTTAATCATACCTTTGTTGAGAAAAGCATGGACAAAATTCTTATAACAAGTTAGAGTTAATTTGTGTTTTTCATGTAAAATCATGCATGCCCAACCCTATTCTGCACCCTACAGGAAATAATTACGTTGGATATATGCACGCAGTTTCAATATGTAAAGGGTGTGGGAAACAGTGATAGATTAAGTACAGGGTATTTTTCAAAAGGGTAGCACCTGGCTATGAGCCAGGGCACAAATAAATTACAAATACTCAATCATTGTTCCAAAGACTTTCAATGCAGGATTGTAGCTTTTATCCTGAATATTAGACAGTGGTATTACATCTTAAGAAGAGACAGTAAATTCCTTTTAGCTTGTGTTTTGCTTTCCCCAGTGTGAATGAAGAGGTGTTCTCACAACAATTTACCCATCATAACCTTAAAATTTATATAGGTCTTGTGTCCAAAAATTATTGACGTGACTTATACACAATTTTAAAGAAAGCATTCTTTGGAGCACTATCACATGGCTAGGCTTGATTTCCATGCCCTAAATGTTGTCACACATGACCTACATTGGGGAAACATAGCATCTGCGGTAAAAACCACAAGCTAGTAAAGGTCTTTACTATTACTTCTCCTCTCATAACTGTACTTAACAAAAAATTTTCTTTGGCATTGTATCATGCACTGTATTTTACTAGCTTTATAGCCACTGCACTGCTTTCATCCCATTCTCAATGCCCTTGTCAAAGACAACTTTGAAGAAGAGGAAGAGTGAGCACAAATATTCAGTAAAGGGGCCAGAGGAAAAGACAAAAAAACCATGTAACATTGATTTAAAAATTGCAAAAATAATTATGTTCCAATTAACCAATCACTTCCTGCTATCCTACTATTTAAAAGCTTTCCCAATATTTCCCCACCCAAATGAAGCCAGTAACAGTGTCCATTGAAAGAAAAAAAGGGTAGCAATAAAAGCAAATAAAGAAGGGAAAGCGAAATTTGTGACTGCAGCTGAGTTCCTTTAAAACCACGAAACCATCTCATGATTTCTATGCATGCCCCAACTTTTGAAAATAATATTTTCAATTTGCATCTGTAACTGAACGCTGTGAACTACACGGCTTTTAAATAGTCTTCTGGTAAGATTTAGCTCATAAGCCAGACAGTGACTAGAAAACGAAGCCACTAGCTTCAAAACAAGTTTCTCAGCAAAATTCCCACGAGAGGAATGGGACAAAAAACAAAACAAAAACAATAAAACAACGATGAGCTGAACTAAAAGGATAACTATTACAAAGGGGACTCAGGAATGAAAAAAGGTTTATCAGACTGCTTTGAAGGGGCTGGTCTCACTTGTCCGTTTTCATCAGCCAGCTCTAGGAACTCCTGCACCTGGAGCTGACTGATGCCTGGCCTTTCCAAAGCTCCCAGCAAGGCCTGTCCCTTTGCCCTTCTTTCACCTGTCACCATCTGTGCCTTCTTCAGGAATAGCCGCCTTCTGCAAATAAGACCTGACTTGTTATCTTCATTGTCAGAATTGAGAGGTGGGATAACAGCTTTAGTAGGTACAGGGGAGATTTCTGATCGTTTTTTGAGACATCCTCCTTGCTCCTAATGTCATTGGGGGAACCAGACCTGATAGGTTTCTTCACTTCCTCATCTCTCTTTACCTATGAAAAATTGCAAGAAAAAGGTATGACAGAGAAAACAAAATTAAATAAGGTGGCTTGACTGGATTTTTTAGGGGGGATACCTTCCAAGTTTTAAAGCATTAACTACATCAGCATGAGTAAAGATATGGGAAAAAGGCTACCAAACATTACTATATTATATATACATGAAAATTTCTTATTATCTAGGTTTTATCGCAAATGGAGTCGCCATGGCAACCTAATGAAACCAATATGTTTTTTATTTATGTTTGTGTTTCTCTGTACCAGGAGTATTTTTTAGAAATGGCTTAAGGGAGTATGTACCTGCCATAACTGCTTCAATTATGCAAAGTTTGAACAAATTCTGTGAGAGCATTTTCGAAATATTTTGAAACAAGTTTTTAGAATCATAAAAACAGTGAAATAGCATGCTATATATCCACACAATTAGCTAATATGTTAAGAAAATGTTAAGCTTTCGAAGCACGGTTTCATCTCGTAATGATTTGATTCCGTTGAAAACTGTGTACAAAAAAAAAAAAGGGGGAATTGCTCTGGGCGATCGCGAGTGAGAAGAATTTTATTAACCTACATTCAGCTGCTTTTGTTACAGTTTTTGCACATAATTTGGTCCATGCCTACAAATTTCACATTATTCAAAATACCACTTGATAAATTTTTTCATAAACTTACCAATCTCAAGGTCAATTGTTAATAAATATACCCTGCAAGTTTCAAGAACATTGAAAGCAGTGAAGGCTTTTAAAAAGGGCCTCCAATATATTAAACCAGGGTTGTCAGAAAGTTTTGAAGTAGATGACTGAGTTGTCAAAGGAAGCAGCCAGCTTAGGGATACTTTATTTAAAAAATGTCATCTGCAAAGAAATGCTAAGCAGAGTAGGCGGCCGATACTAACCAAGTAGGCGGCACTTTTCACCGGCAGTCTGCTACTTTTGACAACTGTGTATAACCAAATTTTCCCTTAGTGAGTGTCCTCATTATTCAGTGGCATTGTTTTCAAGTTTCATATGCACATGTACAATTTTTTGGTAGCAAAAGAAATACATTTACATTTAAAAGAACTCTAAATTACTTTCCAAAGAAATATCCGGAAAATGCTAATAATTGTCTTGTGTCATGGATAGCAGTGAGAATCGAAACGGTGAACATCACGGCTCATCATGTAGGATGTAATACAACTAACTACATGTACGAGAGAACTACTGGAGAACTGACAATTTGACTAACAATAGACGACTGTTTAACTGTGACAATAGACGGATCAAAACGCACCAATTACTGATTATTATTATTATTACAACATCATGGCTTAACTGACAGACGACCAATAACATTGCAACATAATTGACCAATCAGATCAATAGCCAGATATAATACCATCGACTAACGTGATACAACTCACTTTGACTCTGAAGATGACTACCGCACAGGTTGTTGAAACTTCAGTCACTGTCAACAACAACAGTCCTATTCAGGACTACGTTCACCCGGACGATCAAACTCAACCTGCTTTTGAAATGACTCCTGGGTTCAAACCTTTCACAATTAATTATCTTACTTGGGTTACAACATCACAGCAACTTTTAGAAAGAGTTGCTGCGATTTTCTTAAAAGATTAGCTAGTTGTGTGGATAGCATACTATTTCACTGCTTTTATGATTCTTAAAACTTTGTTTGAAAATACACTGTATTTCCAAAATGCCTTAATTGATGCAATTATGGCAGGTACATAATCTCTTAAGCGTTTTCTTAAAAACACTCCTGGTACAGAGAAACACAA